TCCACTTTATTATCGCTTTCTGGCCCACGTGTGATAACGTCCCATGAGGGGTATTCTCAGAGCTAAAGTCTCCCTGGAGTTGCTTAGAAAATCACCTTTCCTGTGGCATGGGCAACTTGCAAGCCACCCAAAGCACCTTTAGATCTAAGGACACCTACCCTTTTTAAGATAGGCAATGGAAATAGACCCAACATCTAGCTGCTGCTGTGAACTCCTATGACAAACTTTATCCTTCCCTCATTGCTGCAGCATCCCTGATGTCTTTCCCTTTTTTGCACTATTGCTACCTTGCCTCCATTGGCAGAGAAACTCAATAGGATTCTAATCAGATTGGTTAAAGGCTACAAGGTTTTTAAAATGTTTGTGTACTTGTTTGGGTCTTCTCCCTCCTCCCATACTTTTCTTTTGCTGCATGTTGCTTGGTTTTGTTGTGAAAGATTGTGAGGAACTTTTTGTCCTATATGAACAATGATCTGTGCAAAGGTTCACTAGTTTTATTTATAATACAGTGGGACCTTGGTATCCGCTGGGATTTGGTTCCAGGACCTCTCGTAGATAACAAAATCCGTGGATGCTCAAGTTCCATTAAATACAATGGTGTAGTAAAATGGTATCCCTTATATAAAATGGCAGAATGAAGGCTTGCTTTTTGGAACTTATATATTTTTAAAATATTTTCAAACTGCGGATGCTTGAATACGTGGATAAAAAATCCGTGGATACAGGGGGGCTGACTGTATACCTCTGAAAGGACAAAGCTGGGGACTTAGGAGGTAGCTGAGTGGATGGCCCTTGCTTTGGGCAAAGTGTGGGACTAGATAACTTTTATGACCTTCCCGGCGTTTTGCTTTTGTTGGACTCAGCTTGGCTTACTGAGTTGTTTCTAGAGAGGAAGTGCTGTTTTCTGTGGTGTGTGTGAAATTCGTCATGGAAATAGGTGCTTAGGTGCAGACTGGGAAGAAGAAAGCTCTGGTGAGATGGAGATGGTACATGGGTAATTCGGACCTTGGAAATATTACTTTGATGACAATCTCCAGCAGGTATGGCCATATTGGCTGGGGCTTCTGGGTGTTGTAGTCAACAAAAATAATTTCCAAGAGCTGAGTAGCTTGGTGTTAAGAGTTTCCAGTTTAGTTTAGAAGAAAGGAATGTGAGAAGTTATATCCATGTTCTTTGCTCCAGAATATCTGATGTGCCTTAAAATAAGAGACAACTTGCAATTTCATAGCAGTTAATTCTCTCACATTAGTCTTTGGGAACCATTTTTAGCTGCTGTGTGGAATAATGATACCACTTTAATTTTTATACAGTGTTAAGTAAGATTTCCCCTCAAAGGTTTTTGGAAGTGGGAGCGATAGAAGGCTTCTGGTTTAATCGGATACACACAGTACCATCTGTCTCACCCTGTAATTTGGCGAATGTGGCTAGTTGGAGAGTGGGATTCATTGGAGGTTTCATGTGAGGTGAAATCTGCATCCTTCCTTTGAGAGGAGAAAAGTGTCTCCATTCATTCAAGGCTGTTTGATGTTGAAGGCCCACTGTATTTCAGAAGCCTTTGGTGAAGGGACAGATATCAAAGGCTCTCTTTTCCTAGAGGAAAGTGCTAGGATTTCATAGGTCCACCAGGTTCTTTCCCAAAGAGAGATACCATCTGCTAGCTTCCTTTTGGGGGTGGGAGGGGGTCTCATTGGCTCATTTTGGTATTTGCCCACATTCATACCATCTTTCAGGTACTTAACCTTTAATGCCACTTACTCGCAAATGTGTCCAGACAGAGTTCCTGTAAAGGTTCATTCTATAGAACAGTGTGCACACAGTAGCAACCCACACCACATGGTGCCTTAATATTTATTTTATTTAAATATTTGAACTGCTGTATCATGAAAACTAGAGGAAGCATCCTGTTAAAATTAATTAGAAAAATACAAAGATGGCTTGAGGTCTTATTCCAGCCATTGTGCAAGGTGCCCAGGATTGCTTTAAAAGAAAAAACCTTCAGAAATTTGCATCCGAAAAGGCTGAATCCTGTTATATTCTGTTTGAATTGTGCATATTGCATTTATTTGCTTACTTTGCATTGTTCTGCTTCTGCTAGTAGCGAAGTAGCTGGCCTACGTCTGCTGCCTGACCACTTAGCCTAACACTAGAATGCTTTCGTTTATAGTGAAAAGGGTGGTGAGAAGTGGAAGGACCTTCCTTTCCCCAATTAACTTGCCTCTGGATCTCTGGCCCAGACCTTTGTTTATTGGGATTCTGCACAAATATAAGAATTAATTAGTGGAGAGAGTTCATAAACCTAGATCAAGAATCTGAGTTAGACTGTTTTTCCATTGGTACCTATATACATTTAACTCATCTCACCAGGATCTCAAAAAAGTTGAGAGAAGACTCAGGCTCATGGTGTCTCAGTGATACAGACTGTACACATGTTGATATTTAGGCTTTATAACAATTTCTGTGTCAATGCAGTGCTTTTATAAAATGTGGAATGCATGCAGTCCTGGGTGCGTTTCTTGGCATGCCTTTGCTAGTCTAAACATTTGATGCAAGAACCTTATCCTGAAATGGAGAAGGAGATCAAACTCACCTCTCTCAGCAATCTTCACCAGGGCTGGCCCAAAACACATAACTGTCTTGGGCAAAGGACAAGAGGGCATCTCTGCCTTGCCCCTGACCTTCTTGTTTATGCAGTAGAAATAGTGCACTTTAAGGGTTAGGGTTAGGGAATCATGGGAACTGTATTTTATTGTGGCACCAGAACTCTCTGACAGAGAAGGCTCAATGTCTCAGGAAAAAAAAACAACACCAATTCCAATGATTTCCTAGCACTAACCCTAACCCTTAAAGTGGACTCAATTTGCACTATTTCTGGCAGTCTGCAAAGGCCCTTACTTAATCTTAGTAAAGAGTCTTGTGGTACATAGCAATTTTAATGCAACATTAATCTTTCAGGTGCCGAGACTGTTGCTTTTGCAAAATACTAATACAGCTGCCCCTCTGAAAATGTGTTTAATCATTGCCCAGAGTGGAAGATGTTGCTTTTTACATACAACAGGGAGGCAGAATTGTATAACTCTTTTTGAAATCTATAGCTGCTCTTAATATCATCAAGACATTCCAAGTATCAAGGTTATGAACTGATAACTGTCATCTATCCTGAACCGTTTCATGCGGAGTGAACTATAGATCAAAATAATAAAGTAAAATAAAGAAAAGCCCATCAGAAGCATTCTAACACTTTCCTCTTCTAGCAAGCTTTTGAATGCCTAAGTTAAATTGTTCTAAAGGTGGGGCAAATTGGAGTTTTCAAATCATAGGCATATTCAAATCTTTTCATGTGGAAGGTTTTAGATAATTGGGCTTCTGTGAACATAACTCTAAACCCTGGATTTAAAGTATGCAGAAGGAGCCTGGATACACTCAAGCGAAAAACCAGTCTCTTGTGCTTGTCACTCCTTTCTCTTTCTCCCACTTGGCTGGTGGAGGATTTCAGCAGAGTTTAGTATTACTTATATAAAATTTGGTTTAGTGTTAACATTTAAACCCGGGATCTTGGATTTAAAACAAACTCTAATCAATGATTAAACCATGGGTTCAAAATCTGGTTTATTTTTAAAATAAACTTTGCCTTGGTTTTCAACTTGGTTAGGGAGAGCCAGCATGGTGTAGTGGTTTGAACATTCAACTATGACTCTGGAGACTAGGGTTTGAATCCCCACTCGGCCATGAAAGCCACTGGGTGAACTTGGGCAAGTCATATTTTCTCAGCCTCAAAGGAAGGCAAAGGCAAACCCTCTCTGAACAAATCTTGCCCTGCTCCAAAAGAACCTGTGATAGGTTTATTATTATTGTATTTATACCCTGCTCTTCAGAAATGCTCTCAAAGTGGCTTACAAATTGGTCATTAGACTGTTCCTTGCCCTCAGGCTTATGATCTAAAGACACAACACACAAGGATCCCCATAAAGTTGGAAAAGACTTGAAGGCACACAACACCACCTTGGTTAGAATATAATAATGTGCCATCATTATGCAAAAGTGAAACTAAATACTGCCAGACTCCTTCCGTGGGTATAACAAAATCCAAAACCCACAAAACAGCGATACATTTATTGGCCAACCGATGTGTACAAAATACGTAATGCAAGTGTTCAAATCCATGGATATGCAAAATGCAAGAGAAGTGAAAAGTGTAAGAGTTTCAGGTTTTCATGAGGCATATCCACATAGCACTAAACCAGGGATGGGCAACTCCTCAGAGTTTGTTGTGGAGACAACCGGGTGCCACCAAATTTGTCACTGCTATTGCTGACTACTACTACTACTACTACTACTACTACTAATAATAATAATAATAATAATAATAATAATAATAATAAGGTGCTAGAGTAATTTCCTGCACCAGAGAGCCCTGTGAATCTGTTAGATTGACAGCCCACTTCCCTTAATGAAGCAGCAAGAAGAGAACAATGTCATTTTAACAGTTTTGCAATATTATGAGGGCCACGAAACAAAAATTAGGGGGAGGGGGTCACCTACAGTCAATATCTGCATGTTGCACATTTCTGCATTAATTCATATTTTACTATTATGGGCCTATCAGAACCTAGATACATTTTCTGAAAATAATTTCCCCTAATTTACAGCTACCAAGATAGTGTTTCTGTATCCTTCTACGCTGCCCTCAGATATCATTCTTAAACTAAATCTAAGGTTAGGTTTATATATAGCCTGTATGGCATAGTGATTTGAGTGTTGGAGTATAACTCTGAAGACAAGGGTTCAATTCCCAGCTCGGCCAGGAGACCCATTGAGTGACCTTGGACAAGTCATATGCTCTCAGCCTCAGGAAGGCAAATTGGCAAACCTTCTCTGAACAAACGTGGCCAAGAAAATCCCGTGATAGGTTCACCTTAGGGTCACCATAAGTCAGAAATGACTTGAAGGCACACACGACCACAAAGTATATGTAACAGAACCAAATATTTCCCCCCATTATTATCTCTTCATTTTCCTTCTCTCCTCTCCTCTCCTCTCCTCTCCTCTTTGCTGAATTTTACACTGTTTTGTTACTCTGTGCAGTGCCATACATGTGGATGGTGCTGGAAAACTACTGTCACTACTGTTCTATTTTATCAATCACATCCCCCTTTTCTACTAACAATAAGGCTCAGGGCATCTAATAATTATACAATAAAACAAATCAGATAAAAGCACAGTAGTAAAAAAATCTGTAAGAAACCACCACCATCACCAGGTATGAAGTATGAAGTATGAAAAAGTGATCACAAATCTACTAAAATCAGATTGATGTAAGCACTTACATATGCAGCTGTTTGCATATGCAAATAATATTTTTTTAAAAGGTGTATGTATGACTGTGATATTCATTCAGGGTGGAATGAGACATTGTGAAGGGGACAACCTGCGAGTACTCTGTGTGTCTTTGCTCTCTCATCCTTGAAAGCTCTATTACAGTGCAGTTCATGTGCTATCATTAGATTGTGTGTTTGCCTGTGTCTTTCACTCAGTTAGAAGCATTTGCCATTTACATGGGACTGCAAAGTACATAGAGCCATGTACACAGAACTGCAAAAACTGGTCACAAAGAAGTGAATTCAGCTTCAAAGAAGTAAATAACACTTGTGCATTTTAAATATGCAGAGGTCATGTGAACACTGGTCCACTTAATGTCTCGCTAAGGGTTGATCTTTCTGACATTCACTCCACATTTTTTGTGTACTACTACTACTACTACTAATAATAATAATAATAATAATAATAATAATAAAAACAACAACAACTATTATTATTATATCCTGCCTCTCTGTTAAGTACAACCGGGGCGGCTTACATAATAAAATGAACAATGCCTTCCCCCAGTAGCCAACCCCCCCCCAAAATACAATTAAACCATCAAAGTTTAAAAACAAGCTAAAAAATAACAAACTGTAATAAGATACAATAAATAACAGATAAATTAAAATAATTGTAGTGGAGAAATCAGGGTCAGGTATAACTATTTTCAGTGGCCAGTTATCTACTCAGGAAAGGCCTGCCGGAAGAGATCCGTCTTAACACCTTTTTAAAAGCTCGTATTTCACCAGGACATGCTGTTGAAAATCAGGACTGGCCCTACTGTTAGGCAAAATTGGGCAACAGTCACAAGTATTGGATGCTGGAGGGACAGCAGTGACAACCCCTTAGCTGTTCCGCTTGAACCCATCGTCTTTTCCCTGTCGTGGAGGATAGAGCAGTCTGTGCGTGCGCAGTACAGCTTGTCCTGCATCTCTTAAATGAGTCTGATGCCCTCCGGTATGGTGGAGGACTCTATTCCATTACAGTGGGTCCTTGGTATCTGCTGGGGTTTGGTTCCTGATTCTCCCATGGATACCAAAATCCATGGGTGCTCAAGTTACGTGAAATACAATGGCATAGTAAAATAGGGTCTTTTATATAAAATGACAAAATCAAGGTTTGCTTTTTGGAATTTTGAATATCTTCAAGCTGTGGATAGTTGGACCCATGGATACAGAATCCATGGATCAGAGGTCTTTTATAGTAAGATTTAGTGGCTAGTCTGGTTAGCTTCTGTACATGGGATGGAGGCCAGGGCAGATGTGCCATCTTGTCCTTTGCACTAATAAGCCATGTCTTCTTGGGCCAGCCCTGCTGAAGATTGTTGAGCAAGAAGCAAGTCTGATCTCCTTCTCCATTTCAGGAGAAGGCTCTAGCAGTCAAAGTCACTAGTGAACTTCCCATAATGCACTTGGCCTCCTTTTAATCAATGCTTTTCTATCCCATGCTTTCTACTTCAAGGTACTGCGGCGGCAGCAGCTTCCAATGTTTCATCTCTCAGACCCCTTTGTGTTCCTCTCCTAGGGCAACAGCGTAGCGCTTGGGTCCAGCTTCAAAGTGTCAGCCACATGAGTTTTGATAGGCAGGGGGGTGGCTTTAAATAAAACCAGTTATCTGCACTAACCCTTGGCTCATTGTCTGCATGGCTGAGCTTGACAGCATGGGTAGGGATTGCTAATGCTTGTCATAATGCCCTTCTTTGTATAGTGTACAATGATGTTCCTGCTTGTAGTGGATTGAACTAAGATGAAGGAGCTACCGGTATTCTAAGAGGAGGAGTGAACTCTCCATTTTGAAAAATCTTGCAAAGCAAACCCACCCAAGGAATAGTTTTCTCAATCCTATTTTTCTTTTATTCTGTTTGTTCTAGGTTGCCTCTGGCACTCAGTGTACAATGCTTAGCATACCTCCAGAGCTTAGCAAAGTTAACTTTTTTGGACTATGGGCCTAAGCAGACTTCCAGAAATAGTGCACATTAAATTGAGGCACTGCCCTGGCTCAGGGCTAAGGAATCATGGGAACTGTAATTTATTGTAGCACCAGAGCTCTCTGACAGAGAAGGCTCAATGTCTCAGAAAAAAATACAATTCCCATGATTCCCTAGCACTGAGCCATCTCATAATCCTTCAGCCAGCATGATTAATGACCATGCTGTCATTAATGGGTTTTTTAGGATCAAAAGTGCCCCCCCCAAAAAAAACTTTTCCTAAGTTCTGCATAATTCTGTGCAATATTCCTGTTATGTACCAGTTTGACAGTTATTGGGCATATTAGCTGATCACTGGTTTGTCCAGTTGTAAAAGTGGTCCTTCAGTCTGAGTATTAGGTTTTGTGCATTCTGTCTCTCCGCTGTATAAGACAGTCAACCTGTGACCAGACTGCCAGAAATAGTGCAAATTGAGTCTACTTTAAGGGTTAGGGTTAGTGCTACGGAATCATGGGAATTGTTTTTCCCCCCCGGAGACATTGAGCCTTCTCTGTCAGAGAGCTCTCTGGTGCCACAATAAAATACAGTTCCCATGATTCCCTAACCCTTAAAGTGGACTCAATTTGCACTATTTCTAGCAGTCTGCAAAGGCCCAATATCAACCTTCTCTGTATTGAGTTCCACTAATGAAGTCCCCTCTTTGTGCTTTCCTCAGTGTACTCACTATCAGGGAATGCCTGCCAGCATCTTGCTCCAAAGGAAACCAACTTCTCTGTGGCAAAACTACCAAACTTGTGTAGTCTGTAGATAAGACAAACCTATAATGGGGGTGGGAGTACAGTTTCCAGGGCCATTTTGATGGCTTCCCTTTTATCTTCTTCGTTTTATGGTGCCTAAATGCCTTCCTAGGAGGACTAGGAGGCAATTATAGTGCTTTTTGACTTTATTGGATCCTTGGAAAAAAGCCTTTCCTGGGCCCAAAATGGCCCGGAGAGTGCCAAAACCAGTGAAACTACTTTTCACTCTCCTAGGTGGAATTTGGGAGTAAAAATTAAATTGGGGAAAGTGGTGTGTGTGTGTGTGTGTGTGTGTGTATCCTCCTAACCCTCAACCATTGTCCATCCCATAATAATTGATGAGAATGAACTACTGACAATCCTTTTCAGAGCTGATTAAGCAGCATAGAATAGGCACACCGAACGTTTGCTACCATCAGCCCTAGGTCTGTCAGTCCAAAACTGAAGAGTGGAATTGATTATTTAAGACATGGGTGGGCACCTTTTGCCTCATTATTGGGCATGCTAGCTGGTGCTCCTGGGAGCTGATGTCTAAAGCCCACAATAATATGTCCCAGCTTTTGGGGTTCAAGGGGGTTCCATAAGCTGGTATACAAAGGCCCTACACCCCAATGCTCAAATATAATTTTAGCTATCATTTTTTTCTTGCTGCTGTGGAGCAAAATGAGAGTCCAGTAGGGGAAATGGAAAGAAGATTGGAGTACATTAAAACTAAGGTGGGCTATAGCACTGCTGGATGTTGTCATGGGACCTTTACAGACTGAAAGAAATAATGCAGCTTGAGGCCACTTTAACTGCCCTGGCTCAATGCTAGGGAATCATGGCAACTGTATTTTTTTTCTGAGACATTGAGCCTTCTCTGTCAGAGAGCTCTGGTGTCACAATAAACTACAGTTCCCACTAGCATTGAGCCAGGGCAGTTAAAGTGGCCTCAAGCTGCATTATTTCTGTCAGTCTGTAAATACCCATGATCTGCTGGAACTCTTGAACTTCCAATCCTGTTGTTCTGAGTCTAGACGTAGCCCAGTTAAACTGTGCTCACTTTTAGAAATGAGAACCATATAGCAGAGAGTGACAGCAGCAGGAGATGATAGAATAAGGCCCTGAAAAGAAATTTTCTTCACAAGAGAGTGTCCTTGCGAAGTCCTTTGGAAAAGTGTCCATTCACATCCACCATTGTCCAGAACTAGCTGTTTGCTAGCTGTCTGAAACCTTGAACTTCCAACCCTGTTGTTCTGAGTCTAGACGTAGCCCAGTTAGACTGTGCTCACTTTTAGAAATGAGAACCATATAGCAGAGAGTGACAGCAGCTAGCTTTGTCCGGTTTATAAGGAGCCATTCCCTAGCTCCTTATAAACATATTGAGATGCAACTGGGGGAGCCTTGCTGGGCTTTATTGAAATAAGCCCATTGCAGAGGTTGCCCATGTGAAAAGACATGGGACGTTATCACACGTGGCCCAGAAACTGAAAATAAAGTGGAAATGAGGCATCCTGAAAATAAACGGGAAATAAACCTTGTTTCCGCAAACGTCATTACCTTAATTGCAGATTTACAGTAAGTGCATTGAACGTCCACACACAAGAGAAAAAAAACTGTAAATGTACTAGAAATGCGCCTCTTGCACATGCGCAGATAGAGGAATGCTCACTGGAACCATGGCAACAGCAGGGAAATGCTTCCCAATGCGCATTTGGCGATCACATTACGGTAAATGCA